GAGGCCCCGCCAGCCCCGGCGGCTGTGGGGGGGCCGGCCCTGCCGGGTGCGCGCCCCACAAAGGCTGCAGTAACCGTGCAAAGTGCCTTTAGCTCTTTCTCTTGGTCATTTTGTGTGTTTTACACAGCGGGCATCTCTCCAGCTGTGCGTTTCTGTCCGTTAGGGGAGAGGCTGGCTAATGAGGAAACCCTCCCTGCTGGTCACAGTTCTGCAGCACGCACGAGAGAACTAACTTTCTGTTGAAACTGGGACACAGGCTCAGGTTTTGTCTCCTGGAGCTACAGTTTGGAATGGCTTCAGCCATGTTCGTCAGTATCCCTGTGTTCTGCCTGTTGGTTTTTATGAAAGTGAGAAAGAAAGAAAGAGGTGTTTCAGAGCAGGCTTCGGTATTGATTTTCTTGCCTGTCTATAAGCTAGCTTGCTCAGTTTGGTCAGGAGGGAAGCGGTGTGATGCTTCACTGCAGTTTGGTGCCAAAGTGATGTGTGAATTTTAGTGCTCTAGCTTCTTGTTTTGACTTAATTAAATGACCTTTGGATTTCTCTTCTAGGGTAGGCAGCGTTGTAGGATCAGTGATCAAGAAACTAATGGGAAAAACTCTACTGCCACTTCGAATGACTTCAGTGATCCCGTTTACAAAGAAATTGCTCTGACCAATGGTTATATCAACAGAATGACCAGCGATGAGCTCAGAAGTAAACTTGCAGAGTTCAAGCTTGAAACCAGGTTAGGCTGGTTTGTAAACCTTTTGGTTTATCTCTCGGAGCAGTAGAGACGTAAGGGATGATTGTTTTAAACTTTAGAAACATACCACAAAGTGAAAAGCAGATATGCTAGCAAACGCCAGTTTTATGTGCAGTCTTGATGCAGCTTTTCTTGTAGGATTAGTGCATGTGATACTGCTGAATGTGTTATCAGAAATGTATGCTGTCTCAACTGGTACCTTTAGATGGAGAGTTTGCTAATCTGAATGGATGAGATAGAATAACGCGAATAGGTGAACGTATTATAAACTATTTGTGCTCGCTGATGAGGAGGAAGGGGCTAGGTATATAAGAGAGTGGTTCCTGCTCTATTGGAAATGACCTGCAAGACCCTTTGATATTGCTGTGGCCAGACAAATCTCAGATGTTGTTAAGGAGGTCAACTGGGAACAACAGACTGTATTGTTTGTATTGGCAGCAGTAATGAAGTAGTGGTGGTGGGGAGTTGGCAAAGTGGGAAGCTTCTGGTCTGGAGAAAGAGGGAATATGAAAGGTGAAGTGGAGTCTGAAAGGAGAAGTCTAGCTTTCTAGAGAAGATGACTGTAGAGGAGAGGAAGTTCAGAGGAAGGAACAGAGATTAATTTGAACAGAATAAAAGAAAAACAAAATGGTGTGGGTGGGAAGTGCAGCCTGCCACCTCCGCCCTGGCTGTCTGCGGATGTTCTGACTGCATGGGTTTTTTTTAATTCCACCTTCAGTTAAATGAATTTGACTCCTCAGGAGGAAGAATTTTTACCATTACCTGATAAAATTTTTAGTAAAACAGGTTAGATTTGTACAGCTATTCAGCAGTTATTCTGATTTAAAAATAAAAAGCAGAATTCAAATAGTAAATGTTTGTGGTTTCCTCCTAGGTTATTTGTTTTCTATTTGTGTTTTTTATTCAGTTGTAAATGCAGAAAGTTTAAAAATTTTCTTTTTAGCTAAGCTAGACTTCTTTTGCCAATGTATTCACTTAAATTGGTCAGAATATGTCTTGCATGTAAACAAATAGTGCATCACCTTTAATGTAGTGAATTGAGCAGATTGCCACACACCATCCTTTCCCTTGGGGTTATTTTGATAGCAGATCATCTCCTTTTTCAACTCTTTTTTTATAGGTTTGATGAAGAAAAAGGTAATTTCCCCCTCCATCAGCTCCTGTACTGTCTCAACTTTGAATGAACTGGTCATTGAATTAAACTAGATTAATAAACCAGAGTGAAAAAGAGTTAACTGTTTGCAGAAAAGGCTGGTGTTCTCAAATGCAAGTTTAGTAGTCTGATTCCAGTTTTTCCTTGTGGATCAGTCTGATAATAACACTTGCTACAAGTAGCTCTTATGGCTTCTGTGATTTCATTTGCAGTGTGTACTTTAAAAAATAGCTTCCTTCAAAGAGTAAATTATCCTTGTTTATTCAGTTCCAGTTTGGTACATGGCAGTTCTGGCACCTGCACTTGCATATTATAATGTTTGTGTTGAAAAGATGCAGTAAGTAACTTTAATTGCTTGTTGCTGTGAATTTATGTGCTAGCCACAAACCTCCTGAGAAGCAGGATCTTGATTAGGAAGTTTTTCTGACAACTGAAATCTTGAATACTTTATTTTAATTGAGTTACTCAAGCTCAATTTTAAATTTAAATTGAGACAAATTTAAAATGTGGGTGTTTTAGCCGGATTCAGCATTATGTGTGCCACTGATGCAGAAATACCTCAGGCATCAGTCGCTTCAGGCAGAGGGCACAGGGAAATACAGATGAAGCAGTGCTGCTTTGAGGGCCAGAGGTCATTTACGAGCAATCTACAAAGACTTGGGCTTTGCAAAGGCTTTGGCTACTGAGCCTTGCTGAACTGGAGGTGGCTGCAGAGTGTCTCTGCTCTGTGCTTCCCAGTCTGTCCCCAGATGTTTTACCTGTTGGGCGGTATTGTAGCCTCTGCACTATCCCAGATAATGAAGCGTTAACTGTATGATAAAGTCGAATTCAGACTTCATAAGTGCTGGTGCTCAAAATGAGGTTAATAAATTATGAACTCTCAAATGTTAAATAGAGCTTCAGTTCTGCAATGGTGAAATCATTAATTGAGTGTGATCTTTGTAACTTTCCTTATCTCTTTAGAGGAGTGAAAGATGTGCTGAAAAAGAGACTGAAAAACTATTATAAGAAACAGAAGCTGATGCAGAAGGAACCCATTAATGGAGACAGCTACTATGACTACATCTGTGTTGTTGACTTTGAAGCAACATGTGAAGAAGGAAACCCACCGGAATTCATACATGAAATAATTGAGTTTCCTATTGTCTTACTAAACACGCGTACCCTGGAAATAGTAAGTGGTGTACTTACTGTGTGAGTATGCTGTTCTTCAACGTAACTTCTTTGCTTCAGAAAGTCTAGATTAGTTTTTAGGTAGATATTGAACTTCACTAAAAATAGGCCTTTATGAAATAAAAAAATTGTGTCCTTTGTACCCCTTACACAGAAACAGAACTAACTTTCTATTGTTAAAGCTTCTGGAATAGATCTTGCTCCTGCTGCTGGCTCCCTCTACTGACATGAGGGACTTTCGGTTTCTCAGTTGTCCTCCCCCTCCTTTCCCTTCTGTAAGATTCAGAAAGCTATTTCTAGGGCTGAAGGGGTTAATCATAAACAAGAATTAGCAAATTCTGTGGTCCTGTGCGAGGCAATCTAGAAGAGACTAACGCAGAGTTCTAGAACGTTGGGTTGGGTGAACTCTGCTTCTTGGCGGGCTAGACTATTTCCAGAGTGTACGTGACAGATTGACAGCTGTTTAACATGATTTTACACATATTTAGAAGGCATTTGGCAACCTGAAGTCCTCTGTCCTAGTACATCTGTCTTTTAGGAAAAACCACTTGTTGTCTAACTGAAACTGAGTGACTCAGTGGAACAGAAGAACTTCACGCTCCTCTGACTAATTGTTCATTTGCCAAGAACTTTTAAGAGGAGGAGGGTGATGATTTCAAGTGATCGCTGTGGTGCTACATTAGAGTGTAGCTGCATGTATGACTAACTGCAGAAAGAGGATTGTGCAGATTAACAAGATTGTTTTACTACTTTTAGAGCAGTAGGAAACAGTGTTGTTTTTTTTTTTTTTTTTCCTCTGTCCAAAAGGTTCTGTATAGCAGCAGGGATTTTAGGGCTTTCTCTTTTCCATGAAACTTGCATGTAGTGTTCTCTCTTGCATTGCTCAGTTTCCCAGAGTGAGGTAATTTGTTTATCTCTGACTGGCTGGCATCCAGAGGTGTATGACTTGCATGCAGCCTCTGAGATGTGTGGCTGGTTGCCTTCGTTGAATTACAGGTGAGTCTTTAGAGATACCACCTGAAAAGCACCAGGCTTTGCTCATGCCTCTCACTTCTTTTTACTTTACTTATGCTCTCCTTTCCCTGATCCTCCCCTTTATTGCAGTCTGTCCTTCTCCCTCTTACATCCACATCCCTGGCTCTTCGATGCCTACTGGTGGCGAGGAAGGACGTGTTCGAGTTGGAAAGCCATCCATCCGTCCCATGGGGAATCTCATAATGGCCAGAGGGCTCATTGTGGCTCAGGAGGTACACACTCCTTTTTGCCTCCAGCAGGACAAGTAGCCACTATTGCCTTTTGGCTATGGGCAAGCCAAAGAAGTTGCCTTGCAGGCTACTTAGTGTGCTGCTGTTGAGTGTTTCATTTTCTTATTACAGGAAGATACCTTTCAGCAGTATGTGAAGCCAGAGATTAATCCCGAGCTTTCAGACTTCTGCATCAATCTGACAGGAATCACCCAGGTAACTTGTACTTTTGTTTCTTCATGAAAAAATGTGGAAAAAAGAGATGTGATTTGATGTTTTCAGACTGGCAATCTTTCATGGTAATTTTTCTGTAAGGCTTATTCTCTTAATCCTTGTCTTTCCCCCCTTTCCCAATTATCACAGAATTGGTTTCACTAAGT